GGAAGCGGCGGATGCTTCATCCCTGGAGACGCTTAAATTTAGCTTGGCCGGAGCCTGAGAAAACGCAGTGTTGGGAGCGCAGATGAGCGCTCCGGATCTGAGCCGGCAAAACCGTCCTGCTCGGCAGCTTCTGAGGGAGGGGAGTTGTCCCCCGGTGGGCCAAGGGCTTCTCGGAGGGACCTTGGTGGCAGAAGAGCTGCGCTGGGGTGCCGGGGGCTGACGGGGAGGCCGGGAATGCTGTGGCGCATCTCCAGGAGCGTGCTTTCCCGGGCGGGGGAAGCCATGGAGAGGAGACGGTCGGCTCCGGTTCATGTTTTGCTCTGTGCCAGCCCCGCAGAGTTGGTGGGGATTGTGTGGCCGTTTGCCAAGATCAGGGTTTGGCCAGATTTCTGCTCCCGGAGAGGCAGGGTGTGCCAACCCTGGTGATGGGGCTCTGCAGTGCCGTGGGTCGCTGTGCCGGGAGCTGTGGGGTCTGGCAACCAGCGCCATCCCTCCTGGCAGAGATATGGGATGGATGAGCGAGGGGAGAGGAGCGTGGAGTCGAGGGAGCTGGAGACATGGAGAGGCTCTTCCAGGTGACAGGGACTGCCGATGAGGAGGCTCGTGTGTCACCCTACACGTGGGGTCAGCGGGGCTAGGGGAAGAGGGGAGCAAAATCTGTCAGACTTCTAGAAAAGAGGGATGTTTGGGTCGGAGAGCCCCGCTGGCACCCTGGGTCTGGTGAGGCAGCGGTGACCTGACATCCATGGAGCCAAGGCTGCTGCCAGGAGGGTGACAGGGACAGTGTCTCACCGACCCTGCGGGAGTGACGTGCACCTCTCCATGCCGAGCCGAGAGCATCCCCATCCCCAGTGAGCAGGCAGGGTTCCCGAGTGGGGACATCTCTCCGGAGGTTTTGTCCCCTCTCTCTCTGGGACGGCAGGCGGGAGCCTCGACCTGCGCATCGCCGGTGAGTTTGGGAGTGGGCTGGAGCCTCCCGCACTGTGTTTGCACAGTAAACAGCTGGTTAATGTGCAGCAAAGCCCGGGGGAGAGGCAGCAGGACTGTCCTCCCCGCTAATCCCTGCCCTGGGACGCTTCCTCCGGGAATTCATTCCCCGCATGTGGGACCGGCAGCCCCGAAGAGGCACAGAGCAGCACGGCCTGGGACAGCAGCTGGTTCCAAGGGGGATCCCAGCCCCGTGGCTCCCCTCCATCGTCGTCGACAGGGTTGCAGGCAAGGAGCTGGCAGCGGCTGTCGCGCTGGCAGCTTGTGCCCGAGACGGGCAGCTCCGTTTTGTGGCTCCTCACTGTGGAAGAGGCTCACCAGGGGGCTGCTGCCCAGCTCCGGGGTGCCCTGTTCCCACTGTGGGGGTGTAGCAGCTCCTCAAGCTTTGCTTCGTGTTTCCTGGAGTTTTTTCCTGGCCGCTTGCGAGCTGCTGCCTGATTTCGGCCTTGTCTGGCTCTGCTGGCTCCCGCAGGGACCCTGGCTTGGAGAACAGAGCAGGATCCCAAGACCTTAAGCCCCAGTGCAACTCCTCGCACTAATCCTGCAGTGCCAGCGCAGCCAGCTGTTGACTAAATCTCCCATTTTTTTGGTGGTTGTTGTTTTTTGGTTTGTTTTCTTTTTTCCCTTGGATCTGGATTTTGCTGGTCTTAAGCTTGGGAATTTGCTGTCGCAGGTTTCCCGGCTGCAGCCCATTTCCGAGCTGCTTTTTGTGCTTCATCTTCTCTTTCCCCATCGCTTTATCCGGGACTGGTGAGCGCTGATGCTGGCCGGCGTGCGGGGGTGCTCGGGACGCCCCCCAGGGTCCAGAGGGAATATTTTGGATTTGGATTTATATGTGCTTGGCCTTGGCTCTGTGGATTTGGATCGTGGAAACCCTCCTTCCCTGGTGGGATGGCGGAGGGGGAAAACGGGACATCCCCTTGTGCTGGAGGGGATGATGGGGGCCGTGCCCTTTCCCGGGATGCGGGCAGCAGAGCGCCTTCCTGCTGCTGTTGGGATGAGGAAGTCTGCGCCGCTCATGGCGGGTCAAACCCCTGCCCGGGTCGGCTGCGGGTGGGCTCCTGCCTGCGGGGCGGGGCAGGAGGGGACTTTTAAAAAAAGCTCTCTCCTCCGTTGTGGGGTTTTCCTCTACCAACGAGAATGGGGGGCCGGTTATCTCCCGCCTGCGGTTTGCCGTGACTCCTTCCCTCGGCCTTGAGCAGCGTCGGGAGCCGATGGGCTGCTGTGCTGAGCAGGCACCGTGCTGAGCAGGCAGCCCTTCCTGCTCGCCCTGCCGGAGCCCCAGCCCCAGGCTGGAATCTCCCCTGGTTTTTGGGCTGTGGCACTGGCATCGCCGAGAGCCCCAGCACTGTCTTTAGTGTGGATGAGGTGCTTACTGGAAAACTCAGCACCTCCAGATCAAAGGGGATGCGCTGACCCACTGACCGCCGGTGCCAGGGGAGCCTAGAGGCCTCTTGGGTGGGCACGGGGGCTTCGGATGGTCAGGATGGGCAGAACTGGGCTCAGCCTCTGCTCCGGGGATGTGGGTGCCGCAGCCGGCGGGAGAGATACAGCTTTCCCTGCTCTGGGCTACTAAACCCAGCAGGAGCTCAGCATGCTTCCTGCACCGGAGCACCCATGGAGGGAGGAAAGTCCCTTGCGGGGCCTCCTCCACACTCAGAGGCTTTGAAGCAGGGAGGTACTGGGCACCTCGAGCCCTCCTGGCCCATTCCTGCACTGTCCCTGTGGCCGACGGGGTTGGACATGACTCGCTCGGGGGCCACCCCCTCCCGTGGGACACTGTGGGGGCTTGGTACTATGTGTGGGGCAAGCTTGGGGCTTGGCTGCAGGAGGGAGAGCGTGCAGATGACCCGTCGGAATGGGGATGAGGATGTTTTGGGTGTAATGGGGCAGTTCGGAGGAGTTCCAGCACCCCAGAGTGCCTGCTGGCCCC